TCCGTTCCGCCATCTTGAAAGGCGTCTACGCTCGCGAGATCCCGCGAGAATCCACGCGATCCCGCGAGATCTCACCCGATCCCACCGGATGGGACGCCATCTTGAAACGCGTCCGCCATCTTGGCCCGGAGGTGACGTCATCGTCATGCGCGCACCCCCCGGAACCGGTCGTGACGTCATCGCGATGCGTGCGCACCCACCGGAACCGGAACCCGGAACCGAACCCGAGTGATCTCCCTGATGGCGGCACATCCGGTCACCGTGGGTCGCCATCTTGATCCAAGATGGCGGCGCCCAGGGGGACCGGATGTGCCGCCATCTTGAAAAAGGCGCCAGGACGACGAGGCACACTACTGGCCTAGGGTTAGAGATAGGGTTACGGGGGTGAGCTAGGGTTAGGTTTATTTCGACCCTTTGGGTCGATTTGGGTACGGTTTTCGTTGGGACGTGTTGGGAGGTTGTGTGCGGAGGTGGTAAGCGCAGAAAACCGCATGTTTGGCACTTATTTGGGCCCGTTTTAGCCTAACCCTAACCCTAGCTATATAGCCTGTACAAGTTGAGGTAACGGTGAGTGTTAGGGTAATAGCTAGGGTTAGGTGATTTCGGACCCTTTTGGTGGATTTGGGTGCGGTTTTGGCCTTTGGGCATGTGCGGGGGTGCTGGGCGGATGTGGGAAGCGCAAAAAACCGCATGTTTGGCACTTATTTGGGCCCGTTTTAGCCTAACCCTAACCCTAGCCTGTACAAGTTGAGGTAACGGTGAGTGTTAGGTAATAGCTAGGGTTAAGTCATTTCGGACCCTTTTGGTCGATTTGGGTGCGGTTTTTGGCCTTTGGGCATGTGCGGGGGTGCTGGGCGGATGTGGGAAGCGCAAAAACCCGCATGTTTGGCACTTATTTGGGCCCGTTTTGGGCCTATTTTGAGTCCAGCGGTGGGCAAGCATGTGGGGTTAGCGTTTTTTGCCTAAGTCCACGGCGCTTAGTATGACGGCGGGGTGAAGGAGTCTCGGGAGGGGTGCGGTTTGACATTGGGCATGTGCGGGTATGCTGGGCGGATGTGGGAAGCGCAAAAAACCGCATGTTTGGCACTTATTTGGGCCCGTTTGGGGGTATTTCGACCCGCCCGGGGACGGCCTAGGGTTAGAGCTAGGGTTACGGGGGTGAGCTAGGGTTAGGTTTATTTCGACCCTTTGGGTCGATTTGGGTACGGTTTTCGTTGGGACGTGTTGGGAGGTTGTGTGCGGAGATGGTAAGCGCAAAAAATCGCATGTTTGGCACTTATTTGGGCCCGTTTTGGGGTATTTGACGGCTTAGGGTTAGAGCTAGGGTTACGGGGTGAGCTAGGGTTAGGTTTATTTCGACCCTTTGGGTCGATTTGGGTGCGGTTTTCGTTGGGACGTGTTGGGAGGTTGTGTGCGGAGGTGGTAAGCGCAAAAAAACGCATGTTTGGCACTTATTTGGGCCCGTTTTGGGGTATTTGACGGCTTAGGGTTAGAGCTAGGGTTACGGGGTGAGCTAGAGTTAGGTTTATTTCGACCCTTTGGGTCGATTTGGGGGCGGTTTTCGTTGGGACGTGATGGGAGGTTGTGTGCGGAGATGGTAAGCGCAAAACCCCGCATGTTTGGCACTTATTTAGGCCCGTTTTTGTCTAATGTAGATCAGCGAATGAGCGCTAAAGGTGAGTGTGTGTAGATCAACGAATGAGCGTTATAGGCCAGTGTGTGTAGATCAACGAATGAGCGTTATAGGCCAGTGTGTGTAGATCAACGAATGAGCGTTATAGGCCAGTGTATGTAGATCAACGAATGAGCGTTATAGGCCAGAGTGTGTAGATCAACGAATGAGCGTTATAGGCCAGAGTGTGTTGATCAACGAATGAGCGTTTTAGGTGAGTGTGTGTAGATCAGCGAATGAGCGTTATAGGCCAGTGTTCGTAGATCAACGAATGAGCGTTAATGGTAAGTGTGTGTAGATCAACGAATGAGCGTTATAGGCCAGTGTGTGTAAATCAACGAATGAGCGTTATAGGCCAGAGTGTGTAGATCAACGAATGAGCGTTATAGGCCAGTGTGTGTAGATCAACGAATGAGCGTTTTAGGTGAGTGTGTGTAGATCAGCGAATGAGCGTTATAGGTGAGTGTGTGTAGATCAACGAATGAGCGTTTTAGGTGAGTGTGTGTAGATCAACGAATGGGCGTTATAGGCCAGTGTGTGTAGATCAACGAATGAGCGTTATAGGTGAGTGTGTGCAGATCAGCGAATGAGCGTTATAGGCCAATGTGTGTAGATCAACGAATGAGCGTTAATGGTGAGTGTGTGTAGATCAGCGAATGAGCGTTATAGGTGAGTGTGTGTAGATCAACGAATGAGCGTTATAGGCCAGTGTGTGTAGATCAGCGAATGAGCGTTATAGGTGAGTGTGTGTAGATCAGTGAATGAGCGTTATAGGCCAGTGTGTGTAGATCAGTGAATGAGCGTTATAGGCCAGTGTGTGTAGATCAACGAATGAGCGTTATAGGTGAGTGTGTGTAGATCAACGAATGAGCGTTATAGGCCAATGTATGTAGATCAACGAATGAGCGTTATAGGTGAGTGTGTGTGTTGACTCGTGATTGAGCGTTATAGGCCAGTGTGTGTGTTGACTCGTGATTGAGCGTTACAGGCCAGTGTGTGTGTTGACTCGTGATTGAGCGTTACAGGCCAGTGTGTGTGTAGGCCAGTGCATGAGCACTATATCCCAGCTAAATTCGTTCTCTTTTCAGGCTTGATCTCACTTTCTCAATACTCTTGTATAACCTGATAATCTTCATGACTTTGTGTTCTTTGTGTTTTCAATGTCTTGAAATTCATTTGTTGAAGAAAATCTAAGCTGGTTATAATTTCATTGACCATATGTTTTCTGTATAAACTTGTATTCCTTGACTTGGCCACGAAAGTGTATGCTGCATGCTCCAGGAGGCGTGAAGAAGGTATGCAGGCGAGTACTGTGGCTCGTTCAGGACAGGAACACACACGCAAGGGAGTTCTACAGGCAGCTGGGATCTGTAGACTTGTCTGAGGAAGAAGGGTGGCTAGTGTATCGACTTGACTCCGACGCCATGACAACTATAATAGGAACAGCACCTAATGCTGTGGTTAATTCCGGATAGATGTTCTCAAACAATTCCATAAACACATTTACTATTACCGAAAGTATAATTGTTGATTTGCGGCCTGCCTTGGCTGTTGAGGTTTTATGCTCTTTAATGCGGGTGTCCACGAGACGAGTGGTTTCACCTCATAAGTGTCATCCCACTTGATCTTGTAGATCACTGCCTTGGGGGTTGGCGTTTTGAAAGGTGGGTTGCGGCCATCAACTGGGAGGCTGGCTCTGATTGATGAGGAGCCAGCGCAAATGGCGTCCATGCTTGCATGGTGCTTTAGTAGTTTGCAGATTTGATAAGAGGTCTTGCCAATGTAGGGTAGAGTAATTCCGATGACGTCAGATTAAGGCTTGGTCAGTTTGGGTTTGGATTGGAGGGTACAACATACCCTCAGCCTAGGGTTAATCAAGCTGTAGACTCTATCAATTAGCACCGAATCAGCTTGTTTGTACTATTTAATAGGGCTGTGCAATATAACCGGTGTACCGGTATTTACCGGTTCAGACATGAAAACGATACGTATTGCGATACGCTGATTGAAAACCGGTATTTTGACATGCATTCGGAAAACTTCGTAACACTCGGAAATCTTCGGATATTTCCGTTTTATAAATTGTTCCTTTCCTTTTTATTTGTGCCAAATATTATTTACACTTTTATTTTGTCATGATTAGAAGTTTTTATTAAAGCTTAATCAAGTATGGTGATTTTGTTGTGTTTTTGCTTTATAAATCAAGCATTAACTCGATTATAAGTAGTTTTTTGTTAAAAAAGAACTTCTTGCAATATATTGCAATACATATCTCAATATATGCTTTCGCATCGCAATATATCGCAATATAAAAGTTCTCTGCAATACCCAGCTCTACTATTTAATCCCTCCTGTTTATTGACTTCATGACTCGCGCTATTTGGATGGGTTTATGCCCGGACTGTCGACAACAAGAAATAATCCGTCCAAATTACTTGTCGACAGTCCGGGAAATGGGAGGTGATGATCTACATGAGTGACTTCACTCCCAGTGTTCTCGAAATTAACAAACCAATTAAAACAGAGTGTGATATATATAGTAGACAATGTATTTATTCAGTCAATATAACAACATGCATGTATCATATGTCACACAATATAACATATTTGTATATATATTTCATAAAGCTCACACAATATATTTGTGTGTGTGTTTTATATAAATAAGTGATTTCTGCAGGTGTCAGGCCGGGAAGGCCACATTTCAATTACATGGCTGTAGCCGGTAAAGCCACATTTCCAACAGATTAATTAATTAATGGATTACCGTAACCGGTAAAAGACTGTTCCTACGCTAAACGCCAAAAGAAATGTTACCCTCCTACCATCTATGAATTACTTAAATACAAAAATATGTTAGAAGGTATCAGTTTACAAGGAAGCTTAACAACAAATCATGCAAATCACGAACAAAATTCTCAAACGCATTCATATTTAGGTGAATTGCATCTTTTTCAGAAGAGTTAAATTGTCCTTCTTTCGACCATACCGAAATAAACCAATAACAGTTATTTAGATGTCCAAAAGAAAGGTTGAAATAAAATTCTGCTTAAGACAGAGATAAACCATTTAAAGTCACCATTTTTCAATTATTAAAACAAGAAACAACTGTTGTAGAGTGTGTAAAATTGTAAAAGAATCATTCCTATGATTTCAGTCTTTTAAAACATTTTCTGTTGATTTGCATTAGTGAAAACAAGTACAACGTGTCTTTGATATTGTGAAAAAGTGTTTAGGAACACCGAAAATGATCTTTGTTAACATTTTTGCTTGCAAAGTAACATTTACACACAACAATATCAAAAGCCAAAACGTAGCAATATTCAAGCAGTATTTGCATCAATGTCACATGTAGAATGATTCTATAGGGTGTGAAGAGAGACCAGAATGCATGATATTATACACAAGCACGAGAAATATGCCACGATTAACAGCGGAAGAGAGGGAAAGAGCCACTGGGTTGTAGATGGGGTCGACATACAATGCTGTTGCCAACGCCCTCGGATGCAACCATATCACGGTTACAAGACTTAATCAGCGCTACAGACAGACTGGGGTCACCGTAGACCAAGAAGTTGACGTCCACGCATCACAAATCAGCAGAAAGCTTTCATAAGAAATGTACACATGGCATTGTTTTACAGATTAAGATTTTTTTGTTATAATGTGATAATATTATATTGTAATATTAGTATACATGTTTTATATTGTGCTTATTATAGAAATAAAATCTGTTGTGATCTGAATAAAATTATGAGGAAACATGTCTTGTTTTGTTAAATACGGTAACCTGTTTGAATCACTAAGCGTGTTTTGACAGCATAGCCGGGAGAGCCACATTCCATGTTCAAGCAACCATTGCTATTGCCGGGAGAGCCACATCAAGCCTGGCTATCTGTTTCGGAAATGTGGCTCTCCCGGCCTGTAACCGCTATTTGTTCTCCTTAATACCACCTTCCTTCATCCAGTTATGTTCCATTTGTTATCCATTACATGCTCTTGTTAATGTTAATCTGCTGTTTGTTACAACATACTAAGTATATATACTTCCCAACACTCGGTTGTAGTCACGTCTAGCTTGATAACGATGTAAGAATCTACACAGAAGCGTTGTTCTATGCAATAAAGTGGTTATCCATAAAGTTGTATACTTCATTATTGACTTCTAGAATGCGATCAAACAATGATGACATCAACTGCCACAGAGACCTACAGATGCACATATACATGTATTCACAGTAACAGCTGAATATGTCAAATTAAGTATGTTAACATAATAATTATAAACACAACGCACACGTCAGTTTTAACATCAAATAGAGCATTGTTAATTGTTCAGATGTATAAACTACAAGGCTTCGTTCTCCTGTAATACGGAAACAACTTTATTCAGTGTATTGAAACCTATGACATGGAAGTTGAGGGAAATGTGTATACTTGCATGTATGGCCAGGGTCTTCTTGTACGACGCCATCTATATTTCTAAAGACACCCTGGGCATTCCGGAATTCTTCCATAGCAACCTAAACTGGCGACTCGGAGACTCGCTATGGAACTTTGTAACCATTTTTTTTAATTTGAGAAGAATATACGTACGATCTTCATCATAGCTGATATATTTGTTACATTTATCACTACCTGTGACCCCTTGTCTAAGATCGATGACCTTTGTAGTTCTGGGAGACAAGAGATTTACTAAATCTTAGGTGGTAGGTCCCAATACATGTTGTAGGTATCTCATCTACACGAGAACTACAATTCCAGTAGGTGTATCTCCTAATTTCACCTGAACCTATTCTCACAAAGACTGCCCTGCCCGACCCCCAGGCTGAATCCTTACATCTATTTTGGAGTATGTACATTGATATCATCTTCGATTATTGTGTGTTTGATATCTCCATTCTACTGTGGTATGTACCTTGGACCAATTGGAAAACACATCTGGCTAATCACCACTACATATCTTCCCCACCGATGGCCCAAGGTATACTCGCCTACAGAGTGAAGACACAACACACTTGATTACTGAGGATGTTGGTGAGTGACTAAATCTCTGTCTTGCTATCGGTCATTGTCGAACTCAGTACAACTAGGAACACGATGGTGAAAGTGGCTACAGTACCAAAGTACAGCCGAAAGAAAAGCGCGTCGAACGCCCTGCCAACATCCTGCCACGTCATGTCCGTACGGGAGCTGGTGGACGGGGAAGTCGTCACGTCGTCGGCATCAGTCGGATCACTCCGGTGGACTTTGTCCTGGATGTTCTGAATGTCCTTGAATTTGTGATCTGCCATAGTGCCGTTGCTGCTGACTGACACAGACCTCGACTTCCGGTTGAAGCTCCGGACACAGATGAAGGGCCTGATCACAACTCTGGTTGTCTTCTCTAGCCACGGCGGCACCTCACCCTCCCGGGAGTTGAGTTCCAGGACGACGATGGTCAATACAACAGACAGGGCTCCCAGACAGAGGATGACCGCCAGATACACAGCTGAAATATCACAAGGAACAATACCGTTTGACATTGCTCCACATGGTAACAATTAAAGACAGGTAACGTGAGTAAATGTTGCTTTAAGCCGCATCAGCAATTGTGCAGCTATTCGCGGCACACAGGTGAAAGAGAGTCAACTAAATATGTCAACTCAAAAACGTGGGGATTTCATTAATACATTCTCCGATTAAATAAGGAAAAACGAAATTTTATATAGATGTAATGGTCTCACCTCAAGTTTTCACCTACACATATTGTTTAGGGAGGTGGACAGTGTCAGGTCAGCGAGGATATGTGTCATAACTTCGCCAACTATCCAACTGAAATACGACTACTACCACTCCATCTATTACCACCACCTCAACTACCACGACGACTACTAACACTCCGTCAACTATCACTACGACTACTACCACTCCATCTATTACCACCACCTCACCTACCACCACCTCAACTACCACGACGACTACTAACACTCCGTCAACTACCACTACGACTACTATCACTCTGTCTACTACCACTATGTCAACTACACTGTGTCAACTCTTCTATCACCAAGCCGTCTCTTATCACCAAGCTGTGTCTTACCCATGAATGATGTGTCGCGGGAGGTGGTGGGCATGCGGTCGGCGATGAGGGTCAGGAAGACAGCAAAGGAGAGAAGCACTGTGAGAGAGTAGCCCATCTTCTCCCCGCTGTCCGGGGGCAGGACGAACACCAGGGCCGACAGGATGGAAAGAACCACCACGGGCAGGATTATGTTGATTGCATAATAACCAGGTCTTCGCTGAAGACGGAATTTGAAGGCAACCGTGGCATACGTGTTGGAGTCAGAGCTGAGCTTACGCACGTTTTCCTGTCTAAAGCTGAAAGCCTCTGTTAAGCCCCACTCCCCATTCCTCTCATACTCAGAAGTGATCACACCATCGGCATGTTTCTTTAGGTCGAGTTCCCGGAGGTTGTAGCCCCAGCTTTGCACGATCACGGAACATTCCTGGGAGTCGAAGGGGTAGTAAGTGATGTCAATGTCGCAGTGGGTCTTGTAAATTCCGGGTGGATTCCAGTAAATGTTGCCGCCATTGTTAACTCTTATTGGAATGTTGTCGCTAGCGATGACATCCAAATCGTCGACTCTGAAAAAGAAATCGAACAAAACAAAGTCATTTAATGTAAACAGTCTAACTTCCTTATACGCTGCAGCTAACATGATCATATATCATTATCCAGCCTCATGTAAGAATGTCGAGTTTTGATTTGTTCACGTGACTCTGATAAAATACCGTGTACACCCGTCACGATCCGCGATCAGGAGTACAAACGTCATATTATCCCGCCACGCCTCGATGACCACGCGAAGTGAGAAAAGCGTGCATCGCCAAACCTTTAGTAACGTGCGCTGCATTGAGGTCAATCGATCAGCTGTTGTCAACATGGCATCAAAGACTCAATCGGCAATATTTTCAAATTGCAACATTCAAAATGTTAACATTGTGTTTAAAAAATGAAGGGTTTTAAAAAACTGAACACTCCCTTCGATTGAACTTTGACTCGTGACCGTGACCCGTAATCTGTGAACCGTGGCATCTCACATAAATTAAAACAAGTCGATTCGATGCGTATTGTTTTCTTTTGATTTAGTAAAAACATTCGGCTAGATAAATGCGTTATCACATCGTGTCTCGGGAAATAGGGGGTTTTATCAGTCCCTCGTAAGGTTGTATTGGAGGGAAATACGGGGTTTTATCAGTCCCTCGTAAGGTTGTATTGGAGGGAAATACGGGGTTTTATCAGTCTAATATAACCCCGTATTTCCCGAGACACGATGTGATAACTTATAACATAATTCAGGTATACGATGCAGCTAACATGATCCTATATCAATATAATTCAAGTGTACGATGCAGCTAACATGATCATATATCAATATAATTCAGGTATACAGTGCAGCTGGAACAAAATATAATATATCCTGCTCATCACGTCATTAGTCATCACGTCATTAGTCATTGCTACATAGTCATCACGTCATTAGTCATTGCTACATAGTCATCACGTCATTAGTCATTGCTACATAGTCATCACGTCATTAGTCATTGCTACATGGTCATCACGTCATTAGTCATTGCTACATAGTCATCACGTCATTAGTCATTGCTACATAGTCACCACGTCATTAGTCACTGCGCCATTGCTACATAGTCATCACGTCATTAGTCATTGCTACATAGTCATCACGTCATTAGTCATTGCTCCATAGTCATCACGTCATTAGTCATTGCTACATAGTCATCACGTCATTAGTCATTGCTACATAGTCATCACGTCATTAGTCATTGCTACATAGTCATCACGTCATTAATCATTGCTACATAGTCATCACGTCATTAGTCATTGCTACATAGTCATCACGTCATTAGTCATTGCTACATAGTCATCACGTCATTAGTCACTGCGTCATTGCTACATAGTCATCACGTCATTAGTCATTGCTACATAGTCATCACGTCATTAGTCATTGCTACATAGTCATCACGTCATTAGTCACTGTGTCATTGCTAAATAGTCATCATGTGATTAGTCATTGCTACATAGTCATCACGTCATTAGTCATTGCTACATAGTCATCACGTCATTAGTCATTGCTACATAGTCATCACGTCATTAGTCATTGCTACATAGTCATCACGTCACTGGTCATTGCTACATAGTCATCACGACATTAGTCATTGCTACATAGTCATCACGTCATTAGTCATTGCTACATAGTCATCACGTCACTGCGTCATTGCTACATAGTCATCACGTCATTAGTCATTGCTACATAGTCATCACGTCATTAGTCATTGCTACATAGTCATCACGTCATTAGTCATTGCTACATAGTCATCACGTCATTAGTCACTGCGTCATTATTACATAGTCATCACGTCATTAGTCATTGCTACATAGTCATCACGTCATTAGTCACTGCGTCATTGCTACATAGTCATCACGTCATTAGTCATTGCTACATAGTCATCACGTCATTAGTCATTGCTCCATAGTCATCACGTCATTAGTCATTGCTACATAGTCATCACGTCATTAGTCATTGCTACATAGTCATCACGTCATTAGTCATTGCTACATAGTCATCACGTCATTAGTCATTGCTACATAGTCATCACGTCACTGGTCATTGCTACATAGTCATCACGACATTAGTCATTGCTACATAGTCATCACGTCATTAGTCATTGCTACATAGTCATCACGTCACTGCGTCATTGCTACATAGTCATCACGTCATTAGTCATTGCTACATAGTCATCACGTCATTAGTCATTGCTACATAGTCATCACGTCATTAGTCACTGCGTCATTGCTACATAGTCATCACGTCATTAGTCATTGCTACATAGTCATCACGTCATTAGTCATTGCTACATAGTCATCACGTCATTAGTCACTGTGTCATTGCTAAATAGTCATCATGTCATTAGTCATTGCTACATAGTCATCACGTCATTAGTCATTGCTACATAGTCATCACGTCATTAGTCATTGCTACATAGTCATCACGTCATTAGTCATTGCTACATAGTCATCACGTCACTGGTCATTGCTACATAGTCATCACGATCATTAGTCATTGCTACATAGTCATCATCATTAGTCATTGCTATAGTCATCATCATCACATCACGTCATTAGTCATTGCTACATAGTCATCACGTCATTAGTCATTGCTGCTACATCATTAGTCATCACGTCATTAGTCATTAGTCATTGCTACATAGTCATCACGTCATTAGTCATTGCTACATAGTCATCACGTCATTAGTCATTGCTACATAGTCATCACGTCATTAGTCATTGCTACATAGTCATCACGTCATTAGTCATTGCTACATAGTCATCACGTCATTAGTCATTGCTACATAGTCATCACGTCATTAGTCATTGCTACATCATATCATATCATCACGTCATTAGTCATTGCTACATAGTCATCACGTCATTAGTCATTGCTACATAGTCATCACGTCATTAGTCATTGCTACATAGTCATCACGTCATTAGTCATTGCTACATAGTCATCACGTCATTAGTCATTGCTACATAGTCATCACGTCATTAGTCATTGCTACATAGTCATCACGTCATTAGTCATTGCTACATAGTCATCACGTCATTAGTCATTGCTACATAGTCATCACGTCATTAGTCATTGCTACATAGTCATCACGTCATTAGTCATTGCTACATAGTCATCATCATTAGTCGTTGCTGCATTAGTCATTAGTCATTGCTACATAGTCATCACGTCATTAGTCATTGCTACATAGTCATCACGTCATTAGTCATTGCTACATAGTCATCACGTCATTAGTCATTGCTACATAGTCATCACGTCATTAGTCATTGCTACATAGTCATCACGTCATTAGTCATTGCTACATAGTCATCACGTCATTAGTCATTGCTACATAGTCATCCACGTCATTAGTCATTGCTACATAGTCATCACGTCATTAGTCATTGCTACATAGTCATCACGTCATTAGTCATTGCTACATAGTCATCACGTCATTAGTCATTGCTACATAGTCATCACGTCATTAGTCATTGCTACATAGTCATCACGTCATTAGTCATTGCTACATGGTCATCACGTCATTAATCATTGCTACATAGTCATCACGTCATTAGTCATTGCTACATAGTCATCACGTCATTAGTCATTGCTACATAGTCATCACGTCATTAGTCATTGCTACATAGTCACCACGTCCTTGGTCATTGCTACATAGTCACCACGTCATTAGTCATTGCTACATAGTCATCACGTCTTTAGTCATTGCTACATAGTCATCACGTCATTAGTCATTGCTACATAGTCATCACGTCATTAGTCATTGCTACATAGTCATCACGTCATTAGTCATTGCTACATGGTCATCACGTCATTAATCATTGCTACATAGTCATCACGCCATTAGTCATTGCTACATAGTCATCACGTCATTAGTCATTGCTACATAGTCATCACGTCATTAGTCATTGCTACATAGTCATCACGTCATTAGTCATTGCTACATAGTCATGACGTCATTAGTCATTGCTACATAGTCATCACGTCATTAGTCATTGCTACATAGTCACCACGTCCTTGGTCATTGCTACATAGTCACCACGTCATTAGTCATTGCTACATAGTCATCACGTCATTAGTCATTGCTACATGGTCATCACGTCATTAGTCATTGCTACATAGTCATCACGTCATTAGTCATTGCTACATAGTCATCACGTCATTAGTCATTGCTACATAGTCTTCACGTCATTAGTCATTGCTACATAGTCATCACGTCACTGGTCATTGCTACATAGTCATCACGTCATTAGTCATTGCTACATAGTCATCACGTCATTAGTCATTGCTACATAGTCATCACGTCATTAGTCATTGCTACATAGTCACCACGTCCTTGGTCATTGCTACATAGTCACCACGTCATTAGTCATTGCTACATAGTCATCACGTCTTTAGTCATTGCTACATAGTCATCACGTCATTAGTCATTGCTACATAGTCATCACGTCATTAGTCATTGCTACATAGTCATCACGTCATTGGTCATTGCTACATAGTCATCACGTCATTAGTCATTGCTACATAGTCATCACGTCATTGGTCATTGCTACATAGTCATCACGTCATTAATCATTGCTACATAGTCATCACGTCATTAGTCATTGCTACATAGTCATCAAGCCATTAGTCATTGCTACATAGTCATCACGTCATTGGTCATTGCTACATAGTCATCACGTCATTAGTCATTACTACATAGTCATCACGTCATTAGTCATTGCTACATAGTCATCACGTCTTTAGTCATTGCTGCATAGTCATCACATATTTTGTTATAGTCAGTACAGTTGAAATATGTTATAATTCATTAAACCTGATGATGCTTTACCATAGGCGGATCCAGAGGGGGGTGCAGGGGTGCGCACCTCCCCTTTTGTGCTGAAAGTTTGTTAAATGACCTTTGAAACTCGGGTGAGAATGAAGTGTGCCCCCCTCCTTTTCTCAACAGTGTGCACCCCCCTTTCTCAAAAAGCTGTATCCGCCCCTGTTAACCTTTTTCTTTGTCTATATGTGTGGAAAACATGGTTCTGATAACTTACGCGTTTTTCACAACGAGCGCGGGTCGCCATATTTCAGTTTCATCGGTGAACAAAAACGTAATGTTGTCGTATGCTTGAGTGTTCCACTGCAGGCGGGTGTCGTTCCACACCTTGTGAAAGTACAATATATTACTGTCAGTAGTTCAACATATAAACGTGGAATAGATATTTTTTTCATTTTCGATTTTGCCACTCATATTAAATCGACCAAAGTCTCAAAGGTAAAGCTAGCAAAGGGCTAACAACATCGTAAGCTGTTCCAGCAAAACTGGAAAAATACTTTTCCTTCCAGCTGAAAAGGGTTCAGAGGGTCGAATATAATTGTTAGGCATCAGGTACTGCCTTAATACAACACACTTGATATGGGAGTGCAAATTCTTTATTATTTACACACGACGTTTCTGGGCTAATACTTTGGTCACCAGACTGGTAAGGTCCCGTAAGCTATTCAAATAAGCCATTACGGATTGTTTACCGATCCTTGTTCAATTTATTTTGAATAAAATATGTTTACACTAACGTACTGTGCATTTGTCATAACTGAAGTTTTGGAAATGATGATGAAAACTGTCGGTTCCAATATTCTTATAGCATGCAGGTTTATGTAAGAAAATGAATAACTCACTACTAATGAACTGAGTGACCTAAACTCACTCACTAAACCCGCTGGTACACATGTCAACCTGCTGGTACACATATTCATATTTCGTTCCCCGAGTGAACACATTTTACATTTTGTAGGAAACCAGTGTTTTAATCCCTTAAGTCAACACCGTTGTCACAACATCAAACATCAAAGGATTTTACCTCGACCGCAAGGTCGAACTTACGGGACTACCCCACCAGACTACATATCATGATGGCTAACAAAGGATCTTGTTCGAGGTTCATCGAGATTCGAACCTTAAGTAGCTGAAAGTTTTAAAGCCCCACGTTGACGTCGAGCATTTTGGAAATTGTGTCTTAATTATCTGCTTCTCTCTGTAACATGTTTAACACGTGTGGTGACGTCGTCGACCCAAATTTACCGTTGAATCCAGTTGACAGTGAATACAAACAATGGGGGGACATTAAATGACACGAGCCGTGTTCAGCTGGTCTGGGAAAATCCATACCGACTGTATCCACGGAGAGAGTGTAACTGTCACACTATATCATCTGTTGCAGATGGCTGGATTTCGATTGTGCCACTGTACATATTCTGTACATTGCAGTCGTAACGGTGGCGGTCAATACTAACACGACGTAATTACTCACGAAACACAGGTTCCCTTCACACGTGGTAATGCAGAGTGTACCTAATAGCTGCAGCATTGTCACATGTCAACAGCTTTGTGTTATTGTTATAAACATATACATAAAGTACTTACCTCACTGACGAAGGGAATCGTATACATGCTGTCATCAAACTGGATGGGTAATGTGGATGTTGATAAAGTGGATGTTAGTAATAATTTCGTCGGTTCCATCAACATATACTCTTGGTTTTTATCAAAGGCATAAAGCAGAATCCCAAGCATTACATGGTGACGAGTATAATCAGTCCCCGCATCCATGGCGACAGTTTCCAGCTTGGTGTTCTACCTTCAGTTGCTGGCGACCTGTAGCCTGTTTTTACCTTGTATTGTTGTTTAGAAAATATTTTATGGTTACTAACTAATATTTAGAGAATGTCTGTGACAGTCTATTGATTTTGCTGTCTTACGTTGACAGGTATGTACTGCATCTGAACTGGCGTTTATTAATACGCAGTTTTTATAATCACGATATGGATGAAATGCTGCCGATGGGGCTTAAAGGTTAACTCACTCACTCACTCGCACACTCACTCCCAGACCCTCCACCCACCCACCAAATTATGAAATACTCTCGCGGTAATCAGGCTTAAACTAAACTTAAGATTCAAAAACGAAGAATTTTGCGTTCCCCTGCTTTAAATTGATTGCAGTGTTTCACCAAATTCATGATAGGTCCACTTTCACACGACTGCAACGTTTCCTAAACAGATAAAGAGCTTGAAACTGTCTGTAGAACACTTACAACTGTAAAGTAACCTGACACTGCCTGTAGAACACTTACCGCTGTAAAGTAGCCTGTCACTGCCTGTAGAACACTTACCATTGTAAAATAGCCTGACACTGCCTGTAGAACACTTACCGCTGTAAAGTATCCTGACACTGCCTGTAGAACACTTACCTCTGTGAAGTATCCTGACACTGCCTGTAGAACACTTACCGCTGTAAAGCAACCTGACACTGCCTGTAGAACACTTACCGCTGTAAAGCAACCTGACACTGCCTGCAGAACACTTACCACTGTAATGTAGCCTGACACTGCCTGTAGAACACTTACCGCTGTAAAGCAACCTGACACTGCCTGTAGAACACTTACCGCTCTAATGTATCCTGACACTGCCTGTAGAACACTTACCGCTGTAAAGTATCCTGACACTGCCTGTAGAACACTTACCGCTGTAATGTAGCCTGACACTGCCTGTAGAACACTTACCACTGTGAAGTAGCCTGACACTGAAAACGTCTGTGTTCGGGTCTCCTAAGCAAGACAAGAAACACATCGCAGGGCATGAATAGATTCTAAATAATAAGTTGTAACCACAAATAACTTCGGTCAACATTTTAACTGCGTACCCCGAACCATTTGTCAAGTTAGACAATGGCTTCTTTGAAACTGTTCATAGCTTTTTGGGATAAGTTCCCCACAAACGCCAAATGTTGTTCCCCTTTATGGAATGCGAGGACGATATTGAGAACTCAGACCCTCTGCCAAACATTTCAACATATTCTATGTAAATAACGAAATCATTAATTGTGCAAGGAATATATCAAGCTTGACACTATGAATGTTTGTTAATCTTAGCAGTATTGTCATAGCTTTCTTATAACACTGATGGTCTAGAAGCCAGAACCCCCCAAATAGTGAAAATGTGGTGCAGTACTGGCGACCAAATGGGATGTGTTTTTCACAATCAGGAATAATGTAGCTTTGATTTAAAGCCGGTTGTCATCAACGGCAGTGCATGACTACCGTGCAGGGGCCCTTTTAAGGTGAGACATGTCCTGTCAGTTATGGCAATATTTTAACCGATAGCTGGATGGTTTAATTTAATAACTCTGGTTTGGATTGAACGATTTTCATCAAAATGGAGGTTTGGAGTGCTCAGATCATGTTTTAAATTTTTTGACAATTATATTACATATGTGCACATCGCAAAAATATTTGTATGTCAAAATAGCAACCGTCAATGTTCAGATACAGTTCTTGGGGTGTCTGGCTTCTGGACCATTCTTTCTCGTCATGAAATATATCTTAAAAATACGTATAGTTGTGAATTAGTATAAACACTCTTAACGTAAATTCAGGGTTGAAGCTGCAATGGGTGACCACCAAGAGTAATGTGTTGCGTGTGTCTTTACAGATGAGTGTCTGACATGATGGATGATCTGTAAAAGTAATGTGTTGCGTGTGTCTTTACAGATTATTGTCTGACATGATGGATGATCTGTAAAAGTAATGTGTTGTGTGTGTCTTTACAGATTATTGTCTGACATGATGGAGGATGTTTACAGATTATTGTCTGACATGATGGATGATCTGTAAAAGTAATATGTTGCGTGTGTCTTTACAGATTATTGTCTGACATGATGGATGATCTGTAAAAGTAATATGTTGCGTGTGTCTTTACAGATTATTGTCTGACATGATGGATGATCTTAACAGATTATTGTCTGACATGATGGATGATCTGTTAAAATAATGTGTTGTGTGTGTCTTTACAGATTATTGTCTGACATGATGGATGATCTTTACAGATTATTATCTGACATGATGGAGGATGTTTACAGATTATTGTCTGACATGATGGATGATCTGTAAAAGTAATATGTTGCGTGTGTCTTTACAGATTATTGTCTGACATGATGGTTGATCTGTAAAAGTAATATGTTGCGTGTGTCTTTACAGATTATTGTCTGACATGATGGATGATCTTAACAGATTATTGTCTGACATGATGGATGATCTGTTAAAATAATGTGTTGTGTGTGTCTTTACAGATTATTGTCTGACATGATGGATGATCTTTACAGATTATTGTCTGACATGATGGATGATCTTTACAGATTATTGTCTGACATGATGGATGATCTGTAAAATGTAATGTGTTGCGTGTGTCTTTACAGATTATTGTCTGACATGATGGATGATCTTTACAGATTATTGTCTGACATGATGGATGATCTGTAAAATGTAATGTGTTGCGTGTGTCTTTACAGATTATTGTCTGACATGATGGATGATCTGTAAAAGTAATATGTTGCGTGTGTCTTTACAGATTATTGTCTGACATGATGGATGATCTTTACAGATTATTGTCTGACATGATGGATGATCTGTAAAAGTAATGTGCTGTGTGTGTCTTTACAGATTATTGTCTGACATGATGGATGATCTTTACAGATTATTGTCTGACATGATGGATGATCTGTAAAGGTTATGTGTTGTGTGTGTCTAAACATTTCAATCTCTCTTGGTGGCAACACTTCATTGGTTAACGTAGCAAATTACAATCTAAGTTGTCGTTAATGAACTGTATAACCCTTCCAGACAAGGACCACTCATCAGTCGACCCTTACCAGTTCGTTGACCGTGAGGATGTTGAAGGCGAGATCGATATCAGTGACTCCTTCAGGACGAACCTTCAAGGAGTAGTTGGCCAAGAGGTCAGTCCGCAGCTTGGATCCGTCACCGAAAGTAAAACCCAAGACTGGTATCCCTGCAACAAGATGAGTCTTGATTACTTCAAGACATGACACGTGCTTCTCTGTTACTTTGTAATAGGATACCCAGATGTGACACCCACATAGGATACCCAGATTTGGCACCCACATAGGATACCCAGATGGGGCCCCCACATAGGATACCCAGATGGGACACCCACATAGGATACCCAGATGGGGCACCCACATAGGATACCCAGATGGGGCACCCACATAGGATACCCAGATTGGGCACCCACATAGGATACCCAGATGGGACACCCACACAGGATACCTAGATGGGACACCCACATAGGATACCCAGATGGGACACCCACACAGGATACCAGATGGGACACCCACACAGGATACCCAGATGGGACACCCACATAGGATACCCAGATGGGACACCCACACAGGATACCCAGATGGGGCACCCACACAGGATACCCAGATGGGACACCCACACAGGATACCCAGATGGGACACCCACACAGGATACCCAGATGGGGCACCCACACAGGATACCCAGATGGGACACCCACACAGGATACCCAGATGGGACACCCACACAGGATACCCAGATGGGGCACCCACACAGGATACCCAGATGGGGCACCCACACAGGATACCCAGATGGGGCACCCACATAGGATACCCAGATGGGACACCCACATAGGATACCCAGATGGGGCACCCACATAGGATACCCAGATGGGGCACCCACATAGGATACCCAGATGGTGCACCCACATAGGATACCCAGATGGGGCACCCACATAGGATACCCAGATACCCAGATGGGGCACCCACATAGGATACCCAGATGGGACACCCACATAGGATACCCAGATGGTGCACCCACATAGGATACCCAGATGGGACACCCACATAGGATACCTAGATGGGACACCCACACAGGATACCCAGATGGGACACCCACATAGGATACCCAGATGGGGCACCCACTCAGGATACCTAGATGGGACACCCACACAGGATACCCAGATGGGACACCCACATAGGATACCCAGATGGGGCACCCACATAGGATACCCAGATGGGACACCCACATAGGATACCCAGATGGGGCACCCACACAGGATACCCAGATGGGACACCCACATAGGATACCCAGATGGGGCACCCACATAGGATACCCAGATGGGACACCCACATAGGATACCCAGATGGTGCACCCACATAGGATACCCAGATGGGACACCCACATAGGATACCCAGATGGGGCACCCACATAGGATACCCAGATGGGACACCCACATAGGATAGGATACCCAGATGGGGCACCCACATAGGATACCCAGATGGGACACCCACATAGGATACCCAGATGGGGCACCCACATAGGATACCCAGATGGGGCACCCACATAGGATACCTAGATGGGACACCCACATAGGATACCCAGATGGGACACCCACATAGGATACCCAGATGGGGCACCCACACAGGATACCTAGATGGGACACCCACACAGGATACCCAGATGGGACACCCACACAGGATACACACCATAGGATACCCAGATGTGGGACACCCACATAGGATACCCAGATGGGGCACCCACATAGGATACCCAGATGGGGCACCCACATAGGATACCCAGATGGGGCACCCACATAGGATACCCAGATGGGGCACCCACATAGGATACCCAGATGGGACACCCACATAGGATACCCAGATGGGGCACCCACATAGGATACCCAGATGGGGCACCCACACAGGATACCCAGATGGGACACTTGGTGTCATCACTTATTTCCAGTGATCCATCCATATAGTTTTTACAGCTACTTTCCACTTGACACCCAACTGAATTAGTTTCTGGGGAACAGTCAAAACTGAGGTTCTATATTCTACAAAATCCTGACGCCATCCCATGAAACCATGACATTTAGAGAGCGAGGTCAGGATATTTGCCATGTTCTACTCAATTTTGTGAGTCACATTAGTGACAAAAGCTACAGAGATTTCAATGATTTCAAATGATTTTTATAGATGTCCGTCAACTAATGATGTTGATAAGGGAGATGACCTTTATATAGTGTTATCAAGTACACACACGTCCTTCTTATTGAATCAATACGTCTGTGACCTTGTGACCGAGCGGTGTGATTGTTTGGATTTGATTGCAAATGTCGGATCATGGTAGTGTCGTCTCGGTTCTGATTTGTCGTGTGTTTTATATTTAGTCAGGTATGAAACTTTGTATCAGTGCCTGTTACAACTAATCTTCCACAATGATACCGTCATTACACCGTGTTACTTTCAGTCTTTATTTATCCACCATCACTCTGTTATGTGAGATGGTTGCACGAGATGGTTTACATATGCGCGACAAACGTTAAATACACACTTCAAAAACAGAAAAAAATAAAAATAAACGCCTGTGTGATTTCAGCATGTCATTTCGATGTACTTTGACAGCAGTCGTTATTAAGACAATTCCTATGTTTGAATCCCGTTAAGCATGTCGTATTGCGCGCAAACGCATCCCAGAATGGTTTGTAAATGTTTGTCATAACAAATTAAAACGATACATGAAAAGCAAAATTGACTATAAGCTCCAAACCCAATTCATCATTTCATTACGAAATTTACGACGTAAAAGAAAATATAAACTGTCAAGACTGAACGTTACTGACCGAAATATCGCCATTGGAGGTTTGGAAGCTGCCGTTGCAGTCCACCGTTGCAAGTCACGTCTCAACTATGTCACCAGTAACCATGTCTCAACCATGCTATCAGTGACCATGTCTCAACCATGTCACCAGTAACCATGTCTCAACAATGTCACCAGAAACCATGTCTCAACCATGTCACCAGAAACCATGTATCAACCATGTCACCAGTAACCATGTCTCAACCATGCTAACCACAGTGACCATATCTCAACCATACTCCCAGTAACCATGTCTCAACGATGTCACAGTAACCATGTCTCAACCATACTACCAGTAACCATGTCTCAACCATACTCCCAGTAACCATGTCTCAACGATGTCACAGTAACCATGTGTCAACCATACTACCAGTAACCATGTCTCAACGATGTCACCAGTAACCATATCTCAACCAAACGAGCAGTAACCATTTCTTAACCATGTCACAAGTAACCAGTCTCAACCATGTCACCAGTAACCATGTCTCAACCATACGACCAGTAACCATGTCTCAACCATGTTACCAGTAACCATGTCTCAACAATGTCACCAGTGACAATCTCTCAACCATGTCACCAGTAACCATGTCTCAACCATACGACCAGTAACCATGTCTCAACCATGTTACCAGTAACCATGTCTCAACAATGTCACCAGTAACCATCTCTCAACCATGTCACCAGTAACCATGTCTCAACCATACGACTAGTAACCATGTCTCAACTATACGAAAAGTAACCAAGTCTAAACAATGTTAATAGTAACCATGTGTCAATCATGTCACCAGTAACCATGTCTCAACCATAAAACCTGTAACCACGTCTCAACCATACGACAAGTAACCAAGTCTAAACAATGTTAATAGTAACCATGTGTCAACCATGTCACCAGTAACCATGACTCAACCATAATACATGTAACCATTTCTCAACCATACTGCCAGTTACAATGTCTCAACCATACGACCAGTAACCATGTCTCAATCATATTACAAGTAACAATATCTCAACCATGCTATGAGTGACCATGTTTCAACCATGTCACCAGTAACCATGTCTCAACCACGTTATGAGTGACCATGTCTCAACCATGTCACCAGAAACCATGTCTAAACCATGTTACCAGTAACCATGTCTCAACCAAACTACCAGTGACCATCTCCCAACCATGTCACCAGTAACCATGTCTCAACCATACGATTAGTAACCATGTCTCAACCATACGACAAGTATCCAAGTCTCAACAATGTTAATAGTAACCATGCCTCAACCATGTCACCAGTAACCATGTCTCAACCATAATACCTGTAACCATGTCTCAACCATGCTAACAGTTACCGTATGTCAACCATACTACCTGTAACCATATCTCAACCATACTACCAGTAACCATGTCTCAACCATGTCACCAGTAACCATTTCTCAACCATACGCCAAGTAACCATATCTCAACCATACGACCAGTAACCATGTCTCAATCATGTTACAAGTAACCATGTCTCAACCATACTACCAACAACCATGTTTCATCCATGTCAACAGTAACCATGTCTGAACCATGTCGCCAGAAATCATGTCTCAACCATGTCAACAGAAATCATGTCTCAACCATGTCAACAGTGATCATATCTCAACCATACTACCTGTAACCATATCTCAACCATACTACCAGTAACCAAGTTTCAACCATGTCACTAGTAACCATTTCTCAACCATACGCGAAGTAACCATGTCTCAACCATACGACCAGTAACTATGCCTCAACCATGCTATCAGTGACCATGTCTCAACCATATCACCAGTAACCATGTATCAACCACGCTATAAGTGACCATGTATCAACGATGTCACCAGGAACCACGTCTCAACCATGTTACCAGTAACCATGTCTCAACCATGTCACCAGAAATCATGTCTCAACCATGTCAACAGTGATCATATCTCAACCATACTACCTGTAACCATATCTCAACCATACTACCAGTAACCAAGTTTCAACCATGTCACTAGTAACCATTTCTCAACCATACGCGAAGTAACCATGTCTCAACCATACGACCAGTAACTATGCCTCAACCATGCTATCAGTGACCATGTCTCAACCATATCACCAGTAACCATGTATCAACCACGCTATCAGTGACCATGTTTCAACGATGTCACCAGGAACCACGTCTCAACCATGTTACCAGTAACCATGTCTCAACCATGTCACCAGTAACCATGTCTCAACCATACTACCAGTTACCATCTCTCAACCATGTCACCAGTAACCATGTCTCAACCATACGACAAGTAACAGTGTCTCAACCATACGACAAGTAACCATGT